ACAGAGCACTGCTGGAAGCAGTAATTCATCTGACTTTCCATTCTTGATCTTATGTGGCACCCTTCCCTCACAAAACACCATGCAAAATGATAACAAAAAAAAACGTAGTCCACCTCAGATTTGACCGAGAGGCTTTCAGGTGGCCAAACGCATTTTCCATTGTTATTCTGTATATCCAGTATGACTGATTGTGCATCTGCACAACTTCATGAACCACACATTATCAAGGAACAAGAAGGAATGGGTGAAGTGATTGAACTGACCTTGATGGGCTCAGCATAACAGGAGAGCTGGCCAGCTGAAAAGGCTGAAGGTTCAAAACCTGTGAACACACTTGCATTGAAACATGAAGGTCTTCTGCTATAGCTAAAGATCCACTGCTGCTGCCAAGCTAAGGCAGTCAGAAAGTGAAGAGGCAAGAAAAGAAAAACATCGTTGCAAAGTTCAGATTTTGTCTGTACCTTGGCAGAGGCACAGTGATTTGTTTTATCTCTCAAAGCTTCTTTTTCTAAAGCAGCAACTATTTTTCTTCAAAGCAAAGGCCTTTGACCTAGCAGAAGTACTAAATATACCCACGTGCAGCACTGTATACCTATTCAAATAAATGAATAGGTAACAAAATCCTCACTAACTCCAGCTGTCGAGTAACAAACCTTGAATTCCCTTCCTGCCTGCTGTCAGCACATGACCTCCAGGCCCCCTCTGACCATGACTCTGGTGCTGCAGGTCAGCATGTTTTAAATATGCCCAGAAAGTGGCCCGTTTATCTGAGCTGAATCTCAAGGCTGTTCCTGGATTTCTGGATGCCTGAGCATGAAACAAAACATTTTTCTCTGACATAGCCTTGGGTGAGGCTGCTGTAGTATTAAACTTCTGAAAACAGTTAAAACAAACACACTAGGAAATACAGTAAACATGTAGCATAATATGCAAAATGAACTAGGTTTTCACCACCTTCATCACCCAGACCTTCAAAATCGTAAAAACCAAAACCACTGTGACACAGAAAAATTCTCCTGAATTCAGGATCAGCCTATTATAATTAGCCTATTCCAGGAGCTAGCAGCCATTTTAATATCATGTTTACTCTCAAAGGAAATTTTAAAGTTGTTATTATTACCTTTCTGCTGAGTAGCACAGATTAAACAGTGGGGAAGAAGGTCTGTCAAATTATTACACCCTAAGTGGTGTTACCCAAAATTATAAAAATAAAGACAAGTCCTTAGTTTTCCTGTCTTCATTTCGTGTAACACATGTTAAATATCTGTATCAGGCATAACATCTTAAAGTTTTTGAGGATGAGGATGTCAATGAAACAATAGTGAATCCATTGCCAGGAACTCTGATTCCATGTATTCATATGTATTCAATCCTAAGTATTCACATGAGATTAACTTTATACGCCCCTCCTCTCTCCCTTTAACTATTTCAATGTTAACTGTGTGCTCGATGCAGCTCAGGGCAATTCAACCAACAGGCATAAGAAAAGAATCCGCTATTAATTTAGGACTTCCATCTTAAAATAATTTTTATGCTCTTCTATACACAATCTTCTGGTGCAAATTTCCAGAGTTTCCAAGTGACTCTGCGAACACTAACTTCTTCAGAACAAACAGCTCCATGAGGAAGCAACTATCTCCTTTCTGAAAACTGAGAAACTGAAGCAGTGAAGATACCCAAAGCCAAAGAGAAAGTTATTGTAAGAGTTCAGTAGTTCCTGGCATTCAGCTGAGACCCAGATCAGTACAGAAATGCACACACGCACTCACTTCCCCAGGAATATTTGATCAAATAAAACAAACAAAAAAGGCTTGCATTTTTCTTGCCAAGTTCAATATAAACACTTGAGGCTATTACATGCACCCGTATTCTATTTCCTATGATAAAGCATGGCCAAATATGAATTGTGATAAAAGACATTTCTAAGAAATACTTGAAAAAGATTGGAACTTCGGGGTTTCTTACTTGAAGAAAGAAGACATTCCCAATCTCAACATACAAGATTTCATCCCAATGGGATTAATGAACTAAAATACAAACAAATTCCTTGAAGATTATAAATGTGATAAAAATATTTCATGATCTGATCTTATATTTACCAGACTTCTGCTGTAACACAGAAGTGGTAAACTACTGATTCAGTTTTGCAAAGACTGTTCTGAATACACAATCCTATATACATTTCCAATATGTCTTTTGTCTTCTTTTTCCCAGTTTATAGGGAAGGAAAAGCACCCAAATCTTACTAACCCTTACTGAAAACCCTGCCTGTATCACCCTGCCACATGCCCTCCCCCTCATCAGCCACCCTTCCTATGCTTAAACTTGCAAAGTTTGTTGCCTATATATTCCACATGAGTGTCAAAGAGAGTTAAATTAATGCGTACACATACATTGCATCTTTGTGAGAACAATGATAACTGCACAAGTATGTTTAATGCATGAACCCTCCAAGGAATTTGCTAGGGGAAGTTTACACTCCTCCCAGCAAGTAAGGAATGTGTAATTTAGCAGCATTCTAGCACAGTGCAGGTTAAAAACAAAACAACCCAACCTCCTCCCCCAAAGCCAGCCTTCACTTAAAGATTTTTAGATCTTGCATTCCATATAATTAGAACTTCAGCCAACCTCTGAACATATATATGATTTAAACATGCTTTTGATGTTGCTAAATCTAAGTAATGTGCTATCAAACAAACTGGTTTTATTCTGGAGTCTACTGGAAATACTACATGACAAACAGATCTCTACCTTTGCTATCAGCATTTGCAGGCAACAGGAAATACCTCAGCTGGTAAATCAAGCGCATGTAACTTAAGGTGATGGGTACATTCTACTTTTAGACAAAGGGCCACTTGGAGTTGGTTTCAACAATAATGGAAAAGATAACATTTGCTCTGCTTTGTTCTCTGAGTCTGATCCTATAAGTAAAATCTGATCTTTCCAAGTTGTTTACACTCTTTTGCTCAACACTGTTGCCAGCAAACCTTGCTCCAGCTTCCTGAGCATTTTTAGAGCAGCCATCTCCAAGGACTGTGACTGGAAATTGCTCAGGAAATGGCAGAAGCAGGCTATGGGTTTCAAATGCTGAGATCTATTAAGTGCTCTACACTTCACTATATCCCCAAAGCACGCAGACAAGACAGCTTGGGTAAACTGCTTTCTTAACATAAGCACATTAGACGAGGCACAAGCAGCCTCTCTCTGCTGGACAGCAAGTATTTTTACTCAGAGCCGAGTATTTAATTCTAGCATTGTGTCAGGCTGACCAGGCACAGGGGCACAGCCTGCATGCTCATGCACACGGACTGGCTCATGCTGTGCGCGCACACGGCCGCACAAAGCTCCACGTCGCACAAGCAGCGCCAGCGGCACCTGCAGCGGCCCAGAGGGAAATCTGGATTTGGGCTTGTGCAAATGTGCACTCGGCACCTGAGTCATGCTGCTCTCTCAGGAGGTACTCATACCAAATTTGCTTATGACTTAGCAATGGATTTAAAGTTTCCTGACAGATGAGAGAAGCACTGAAAAATCTACAGCAGAATCACATACAGCTATTTAGTTCTTATTGGAAACTATGTTCAAAAAACCCAAACCGACCAACCCCAACCACCCCCTCACCCCAAGCAAACAACCCAAAAATCCCAGAGAAAACCAAAATGCCCTATAATTTGGTCTTCATGTCCAGAGAGTTGATAACCTACCTCTTGGTATACTAAGAAAGGCTTAAAGAACACAAAAAAACCCCCCAAACAAACAAAAAATCAAACAAACAAACAAACAAAAAAACCCACCACAAAACCCAAAACAAACCCCCATACCACCACCCCTCAAAATATAAAAATATCTGTTCCTCATTCACCGTCTCTCCAGAAAAACGTAATTTTTCTATTCATCTTATGACAGTAGATGATCTGACAATTTTGATTAATGGAAGCCAATGAGAAATCTACTAAAAAAAACTGTAAATCATTTTCTCATCATAAACTAGACATTTAAGACCACATATATACTAAAAATGAACAAAACAGCTGAAGTTTCATGGATGCATACAATACACATTGAGCTGAAGTCACCACAAACCCAACAAGGCTGATACTGAAGTCATTGGAAAGACTGATCTTGGCCAAGAGAATCTGCCTTTATTTTAATCACTGAGAAAGACTCCACTTGAAAGTTCTTTCAGTACCGATTTAAACTCTCTTTTCCTAAGTTTCTCCCTGTTAGATCATCATCTTTGTTCTCTCTTTACAAATTCTCTAATTGTGTACCCACAGGACACAGTACTAAGGATGTGTGTGTAATACTGTAAGAATATTAACTAAAAGGCTCAGCAGTCATGGCATGCAATGGTTTCTTTGCACTTTGGCACTCTGTTTTGATGTGTTTTGAGAGTAAACAACAATATGGCACAACTTGACATCAAAAATTTTATTCTACTGTTGCTTTCAGAACAGCTGAAGTTTTTGCCAGTCCCTCCAAGTGCAGCATACATAAATAAGTAATTGGACTACCATAGTCAGCAACACTTGCTTTCTGTACAGCAGTCCCCCTCAATGAAGCACTGAGGCTGTATTACACTGGTTAAAGAATCTAAACTTGAGTATTTGTTTATAGTGGTCATGGCAGGGATCCAAAGGTATTCATGTTAATTTACAACACATTTAGGTAAACGATCTGCTTTTGAAGACAGCCAATTCTGCAAAGGCCTGTGGGAGATCGAAATCTGTTTCTTATTTCCTTTGCCCACCCCCCTACCTTTTTAAAGTATATTTTGTGGTTGTGAAAAATAATGAAGAGGGTGGCTAGGCATGGAAGCCGCTTATTCATATGACATGCAAAGTGTAGGTGGACAGTTTCCATGCAAATTGTACCTGGTTCTTTGTGGTACTTTGGTGACAATTCAGAAATAACTTTATGCAGTAAATTAACATAGAATAATCCCATTTGCAGACATACTTATCACCAGGGATCTGGAGAAAAAGTAATTTGCCCTTTACCTCTCTTTCATGATGGCCAAGACCCTCCTTGGGGTTTCTGAGATTGAGGACGTGCACCTCTTGGGGCAGGCTCGTCGTGCCCCGGCTTGCACAGCCAGATAAGACTGTAAAGCTTTCCAACAAGGCATGGACTGGGTGCGAATTGTTAACAGGCGATAAGACACATTCCCTCTGAGGCACAGGACCTGCAGAGAAAGACACAGACACACATAATTGGGAGAAAAAAAAGCAATACATTGTTTATACTTGTCAAATAATGATCTTCCTTTTGTTCAGAAAATCCATAGGAACACAAGCAGAAGCTTTGTGTTCATTATCCACAAAATTAAGATTCTCATTCCCATTAAACGTCTAAGTTGTCCTGAATATGCTAACTCATTGGCTTATTTCTCTCTGAAAGTCTAAATTTTCAAGTATGAATTCCAAAACTGAAGGTATTCTTTTCTTTAGTAGGGAGGAAAACAAAGAGAGGGAAACAAAAAGTCTAAAAAAAACCCATTAAACAAAACTAGAAATAAACAAAACAACCAAAAAACAACAACAAAACTAACTAACAACCCCAAAAAAACCTCCCAAAAAACCAAAGAAACCCCCACCACTACCAGTGACAGCGGTCAGGGGAATTGGTTTATCTTAGATGTTTATTCAAATACTGTTACCTGCAAACACTGTAAATGCAATCATGTGCATATAACAATGAAAAGTTAATATCTGCCAGAAAGGTAATTATGTCAGGAAGGATTTGGGCGAGCTGGATTTGTTGCTTTTGAAGCAGGGCTGATTTATAGTGAATATCGTTCAAATACATTGTACAAAACAGCAGGCATCTGTCACATGATAAAATGAAATGTTTGTTTACTGAGTCTATTTTGTGTCTGACAGCAATTATCTGCACTGATAACAGTTATCTAGTCCAAAACAGAGTGTACGCCCTTTCAAATAATCACCACAGCATGATGTAGTGCCATACTCTTATATAGCACGTGAGACCGTGTGATGTGATAGAGCAAGATAGCACAAACGCAAAGCATACAGAGCAGTTTACATTTAAACTATATCCCAGGAAACTAAATCAAGACAAATATTTATGAAAAGCAGCCCTGCTTTTTCCAAACAGCTCAAGCCCACCCCTGACAGTAACACATACATGTATGTTTTTGATTCAGAAGGTCACAGGAGAATGTAATTCATTTAACCCCTAATTTGTACCAAAGCCACTCAGATAAGAATTAGACCCACATGAATCAGTCAATTCAGAGGCTGCCAGGCATAAAAGAGAAATACAAGGTAGAAACAGTTTTTTTCCAAATTGTGCACACCTGCAATTGAAGTAAAATGCTTCCTTTGAAGGAAGTTCAAAATAAAGAAAATCCTCAACTGATTAAATGGGAGGGCCCTGTCTGCTTTTGTCAAGTCTAAGTCAGCTATTGTAGCACTAGAGATCATCTGACACTGGTGTACACTTACGTTTAATTAAATTAGCACTGACCTACACTTTGCTAGTTAAAACCACAATTCTTTCAAAATGCAGTTTGCAGTTGGCCATTTATTTACAAGTCGGAGTCTGTTTTAAACCAGACTATCTGGAAAAAGCAAAGCCCTTGAGCACAGGGAGATTTCTGCAGTGCCTCAGGCCACAAAGAGGCCGTTCCTGAAATCCACCAGAGCATAGTGCATATCCTATGAGCTCCCACAGAGCAGGAATATTTGTAAAGGCAATGCTCAAGGCACAAATTACTCATGCATGTGCTTGGGGTACAGAAGATAAACAAACTTTCTTCTCCCTAAATGAGGAGCTTGGCAGTAGCACTGACCAACTAGCACTGACTTGAGGTCTTCTGGTTTTTATTTAACTCCTTTCAAAGAATACACATACAAAATGTGACTGATCCAAGCAATGATAAGCAGTTTAAGAAAAAAAACTAATTAAAAAGTTTCCCTTTTTAATGGCTGAAGAAATATTTAGGATTTGTAACAATAACAAAACCAATAGAGAGGTCTCATTTTCCTGATGTACAAGAGCAGATCAGAGAACCTACTGATAAACTAGCCCAGCCACTGATGTGTAAGTCCTACAGCACACAATGTTACACAACCTGCACAAAACACTTCTCTAAACTCCACAAGCATTTCTTGGGCTGGGAAGGAAAGGAGCACTTGTTCATTGAATTGTTTGTCAGCCAGAATGGAACTGATGGTTAAGATGTTTCAATCATAACACACACTCACCCACAAAGAACAAGGCACAAGACTGAACAAAACCAGAAATGGAGTTGCTGACAAAAATGTTCACTTTACTTAGCAAAGGTTCAGGAGAAAAAGCAAATAGCTCCCTTGTGATTTCCTTGTGAACACCTATTCCCATGCAGGACATACACCAATCCTCCCCTCCAGCCTTCATCTGGTGTTTACTCTGAACAAATTTAAAACATTAGAGTAGAAGACATCTGGATTTTCCACTCACATCCTACAAGAGGAAGGTGACTGTGACTGTTTCGTTCAGGCTGTAAATGCCTCCTTTGCTGGCACCTCAAATGTACATCAAGAAATCCCTCTATTCTGCTCAACATGCAAGATGGAAACAGTCCCGGAGGGAGCAGAAGTTCACATCCTGGATAACTGTGTGCAGCTGAGCTTATCTGCACAGGGACAGGCAGAATGAGGCATGCCTGCTCTGCCTACACTCCACCCTGGCTGAACAGGGGCCAGATCTCCAGCAGAAATGCTGTCACCTCGCTGGCAGCGAGCCCACGTGCTGAGCCAGTCCGGAGCAGGGCTTGTTGTTGTAGGTCCACTCTTCCAGCAGTGCAGCTGCACAGCATCTGCCTGCACACCTTGGCAGCCTGGGGCATGTCCCCTCTGTCATATCTGTCTGCAGGGAAGAGGTGCACAAAGCTGCTCCAAGCCATTCAGTCCAAGAAACCAATGTTTTGGGGGAATTACTGCATTTGATAGAACTGCTTTCAGACCAGCCTCGTGAGAGAAAGTGATATAAGCCCTGGAAATCTGCACCAACGACTGGAGTACCTGGAGGATGCTCCACTGCAATCAGACCACATGTGCTGTGGCATGCTGTGGGGGTAAATAAGTGAGAGATTGCCCCAGCTGTCTAATTTTTGCGAAGTTTCACACAGGTGCCCGAGTAGGCATGTCCTGGGCCCATACTGCCCTTCCCAGCAACTCAAGACTCTCACAATCACTGTTTCTCTTACACTGGCAATACCAAACCACAATCCTTGTGTGCTGCTATTGGCATATCTGCCCAACCACTAACCTGGGCTTAGTGCCATGCCCATGTACACTGGCATGCCTGGAGGTAGCAGCAAGTGAAAGGAAAAATTATTTCTAGATCACAAAGTCCACTGCATGCTCAGCCTGTAAATGGCACAAAGTAGGTCCTTCTGCCACCTCCTCTGCACTTATGCTGTACTCTATTCTTACACTGCATGCACCACAGCAATGCTGGAGCTATTTTCAAAACATTCATAAACTGCATTTCTCTCCAGCCCTTCCTATTGCACCTGCAGATCTACCCCACTCAAAGGTGGATACTACAACAAGGCACTGTCACTCCAGTTGGAGCGGCAAGAGCTCTCCTCTACCCAAATAAGCAACTTTTGGCTCCCTCACAGATCCTTCATATTCCTTCTTTACTGCCACTTGTCTCTGACTAGAAAGCCAGCTACTTCCTCTATGTAGTTTAAATCCTACATAATGCATGTTTACCACTCTGAAAAGTAGTATCCTAGGGAGGACTTATTTATCTGATTTATCACCTCCACACCACCTACTTGAAAAGCCGATAGGAAACAACAGCCTCATCTACCTGGGCTTTACTGTCACTCTGCCCCCCACAAACCCCAGGATGAGGCCTTGCCAGTTTCCCACTCCAGCCTCACACCCTGTTCCTGCCAACCTCACCTGCATCAGTGTCACCAACATCCTGCCAAAATTCATTATCAATGTCCAATTAAGACATCAAGATTGCCTTATCATCTCTAAGTATGTACATATATTTTCCAGCATCTACATTCCCATCAAAGTACTTAAAGGGTCAAAGATATCTTCCAGTTTATCCATCCTAGTGTGGTCACAAGCCTTTAGCACCTTCTCTATGCACACACAGCCATCCTCAGGTTTTGTTTAACTTTGGAGCATGTAACCACTTAATCTTGTTAGCAAGTCCTGGCTCTTACCCCAATCAAATTTTAGTTGCTTAGTGCCTTTAGAGGATGGAAGGCAGGTTAGGCAGTTTTATTTACAAGAACCAATTATTAGGTTCTTAAACAAGATGATGTTTATTGCAAATGTTACTGAATTCAGAATTCTAGAGAATTGTTAAGTATTGAATTATTTTTCACTTCCAATTACTATTTTAAAGGAAATCAGTGCAGACCCAACCTTGATACTGTGTAGCTGTGTCCATCTGGAACATATTCAATACAACTTCAACATTCTTGTTTCCCGTATCATCCATGTTACTAATGAGTAACATGTGTTCTGCTGTAAGAAGGTAGCAGAAAGGGGAGTAAGACTAAGGGGGATAACACAACAACCCAAGACCAACTCATAACTGTGATTAATTTTATTCAAATAGTAAAAGGGTAATGTAGTTTCTGTTGTATTTTCATGGTGATTTCTGCAGTGTTGTCAGCTGAAAAGTGCAAGAGGCTCCTGCAAGTTGTGTGAATCTGTGCTGGGGGCTCCACAGCACATTAGCGTGGCTCCCATACGCCATAGCAGAGGGTACAAGCCACACCAACGGGACAGAACACTCCTCATAAGAAGGACAGCTTTATTGTAATTGATTTTGAATGAGAGAACGATGATAATCTAGTCATTATATATATGAAAAAAAAAAAGAATCCATACTTGAGGAACACAAGATATCTCTATGCTGTCAGGTAGGAAGTAATATAAATTACTGCAGATCCTGCTAGAATTCATCACCTTATGCTGAAAGGCACATTAATATGTGGAGGAGGCTAACTAAAGCAGAAATTTCAGTGTGCCCAAATGACAGACTTTCACAAAAGTTCTTTTAGAGAATGTTAATTTTAAGGGTATTCTCTTAAGTATCTTAGTGACAACGATGGCTGAAACATACCTACTTTTGAATGACAACAGAGAGGGGAAATAATTTGAATCTTGAACTAAAAAGCTTCACAGAGCACTTGAGCAACAC